AATAAACGCAGATTATCATCCACAACTCTGGGTTCTATAAACGTTTCAAACTGCTTGATAAACTTAATATAACCACGGTGTTGTCCATAAAAATAACTTAGTCCAACCTAAGCCAACTACCGATGTCCTAGACATCAAATCTTTCCCAGGTACCTTTGAGTTCTCGTCCAAAACCTGGTCCTTAGTATTTCCTAATGGTGATTTTTAATAATAAGTACTAAGCAAAGTATCATCCTTAGTAGAGACTGAACCCAATAAACATGAAGTATCATAAACAACTTGCCCTGCATTCTGGAATTCTTCAAAGGCTTCAACCCTCTTCGTGTTTGATTTCTTTCGAGAACTCATAGTTAGTTGGAATTCAACAGAAAGTAAATAACAAAGACAAGATATAAAGTTTTCACCGGTAAATCTTCTTCGTCAATGAAAAATCCAAAAGAAAACCAAAAGATCGTTTTCCAAAATACAGTCTAAACAGAATAAACGATAAGTAATTCAAAAATCCTTCTTGCAGGAAGTGTTTCCAGATTGTAAACGATGAAAATTCCAAACGTTTCTTTTTTCTTCTTAATTGTTGGACTATAGATGGATTTTCTACCCCAGCAGTTCACTCCGTTTCCAGTAGGTGCAGGTTAGTACTCGACGTCCTAGATCCAATACCAAAACACAATAATTCTGGGAGAAAACGGTAATTATTACACCTTCCAAATCCAATTTACCCTGGTGGGTATCCGTTTCTGGAAGAATAAGTGCTTTCAGTCCGAATAGCTACGGTATCAAATCGAAAATGGCTGTAGCCATATTAAATATCAAATTTAAACAACATATGTACAGTTCAGAAGCAAACATAAAAACTTCAATATAAGTACAAAATATAGAAATAATAACAATATACAATAATAAAATCTCAAAATGGAATCAAATGGAGTACCAAAATGTCAACAGAAAGAATCAGTCATATCATAACACAAACATATATACATGGAGGGATTTTCCGAAAAACAAAACATTCGAAAAAGATTCTAAACATGCTAGGCAAGTCGATTTGAGAACGATGAGACCGAAAGCAGCTAATGAAGCTCTGAGAGTGAAGTCGTTCTCCTGACTGAAGATGAATGTGACAGCAGTAAGGTATTTCCCTCGAATATTTAGCTTCTGTAGCGATGCTGCTTTCCCACAAGGTAGGGAGGAGTTAGAATCGGCCAACCCTAAAAATGTCACACTTCACCTTACCTCACGGATTTACGTCTTCGTCTTCTTGAAAGGCATAGCTAGCATCTTGAAATCGATCCATAAAATGGCTATGCGTGATCGGCTTCAAGCAGTTGTTCCTTGAACTCTGTTGTCACACTTCCAGGTCTTTAAGTCCAACAAAATCAAGCTTCCTTTTTAGGTTACTGAGGAAACAACATTCCACTGTGAGAGCAGTCGGCGAGTGATATCCGCCCTCATACGTGTACCAGCAAACGAGACCAAATTGGTCAAAGTCAAATCCTTTCCACACCCCAAAACTCTATGAAAACTGTAGTAATATCTGCTTTTAAGGTAAACCATAAGGTTAGGGAGAAACGGTGGATTTCAGTAGCACCTACCGAATTGACAGATGCTCAAAAACTCATCCTGTCTAGCTCATAATACGATGAGGAGCGGAATCAGCAAAAAGTTAGGCTGACAAATAACCCACGAAACGATTGTGAACAGCGAGGGGCAATGAAAGTGAGTCGGATGGAAATGGCAGCGGCGATAGTCAACAATAGGCAAATGTTCTGGACGAAACCGGTGTTGGTAACATTTTGTCTGCTTTCGGCTCTTTAGATTGATGAGACGACTAATCAGTAACACTGAGGTTGCTCTTATACGCTTGCTACTTCTGTGGTTCATGTTTCCAAAACTATGCTGAGGTCGCTATTCTGTCGAGACACCCGCAACATTCTTACTCAGGCGCCAACAGTATGACTTAGAGGTTGGCATTAAGTAATAAAAAAAACAGTTAGACAGTGCGAGATTTTATTCATCAAATTTTTATTTTTACAAACTCTACTCTTTCAACTAGAATTTCGATTTCAACGTACATAAATCCAGCTTCTTACTTAAACTTCTCTTCTATCCACCTGACACTGCACAACTCTCCCTTCTTTTCGCTGTACTCCTTTATCTGTGTGTTATATTCTTATATTCCCATAATTTACTTTAATTTAAGTGGTCAGTATGAATTTTATCTTGACTTACTACTGTATTGACTACTTCAACATGACAGGTTAAGTAGTGCTCTGGTTATATATATACACTTGCCACACTGCTGCCTTTTTTTCTCTCTCTTCTCCTTTTCAGAACCCCATTCACGGTGGGAAATCCTTAGCGACTCTAGGGAACATGCACCCTAGGTACATGACTGTCTGGATCACAGCTCGTATCGAGCGCGTTCCATATGACCTTTCCCAACAAATTCACTATTGATCTCGGCAAATCGCCAAAAGAACCTATTGTGCACCTTCCTTCCTTCTTTGTACTCTACTATTGAAAATGAGGCTGTATAATACTGTTTCTGTCAGTGACATGGTGTAAATATGCAATCAGAAACTGACTCTTATACTTAATTTAACTGCTATAACTTTACAGTAATTGTGAAAACACTTGTGACAATTTGATCTTGCCTGTAAACTGGCGTGACTCTTGTAACGTAGTTATTTGAGAATAAATTATTATTATAATGTTTGTGAGGCCATTTTGGCAAGGGATGGTCTCATTATACATTTGCGATCCAGGTGATAGGATCGGTGGGCAGAACGCTTCAGAGATCAGTTTAACTGGCTTTCAGAAACTGTCCTGTCTCCCAACGTCTCCAGTCATCCTGAACGGCAAATCTCAAAAGTCCTCCGAGTCTTTATGAATTGGAGAAATCTTTAAGAAATATGAAGCGAGGTAGAGTAGTGGGTCCTGACAGATCGACACCCTAGATTTGGTAAGGATGGTGGTCCAGTTAGGCTGACTGAAATCTTAAGTAAAATCTGGGAACTGGACGTAATACTATCAGGTGTTCTCAATTGCTAATTGTCCCAATTTGTAAGAACTGATAAAAGTTCTCTTGTGACAATCACAGAGAAATCAGTCTAACCAACATAGTGTTTAAAATGATAGCCTTGATAATACTTAGACACTCAACTAGACCTGGACAGACCAAATATTCTCTCTTCGTCAGGTCTTAGAACATAGACACACATTTTGAGGTCCGAAAATATATCTATTCTTGGACCTTAAAATGGCTTTGGACTCTTGATCGTAAGGTTCTGTGGTAGTGTCTGTTATTAAAAGGTGTACCAGTGAAGTACACAAACCTTATACAATCCCTCTACTCCTACTCTACTGATCAAGTTGGAGCTTATGACGAACTGTCATGGGAATTCATTACTTCAAATAGTGCTTGTTAGAGTTATCCACTTTCTCCATTTTTGTCTAACCTTGTGTTAGACATGCGTTTAGAGTTTACATTCACTTCGTCTAAATTTTCAGGAGTGGATCTGCTACCCGGAAACTTGTCTGCTTACTTAGAATACGCCGATAGCTTAGTTCTATTTAGTAAGGACACTGATAAAATGCAATCTTCTGACTATCCTGAGCAACAATCCAAGCATGTTCGCGATGCGGTCATCCCCCTCGAAACGCGAAATGTTGCCCCAAGAATGGGTTTGACCAGCTCTCAAACTAGTCATAGGGATTGAAGCGGTTCAGCATGCTGACCACTTCCCTTATCTTGGGAGTCTCACTAGTGGTAACGGCCTGGTGTGTGACGAAATATCTGCATGGATATAGAAGGCTCGATCGGCTTTGCCAATTTGCATCACTTATGGCATTGAGGACAAATAGACAGACAGGTCCAATGCAGAACTTCGTATGTAAGTACATCGGTTAAGGTTGCCATACCACGTCAGCACAGAGACGTAACTGTCAGTTCAAATCCGAGAGTGATAGCGATAGTAGAATTATCAGCTGCAATGGAGAAGATTATGTAGCGAAGATATGATTCGAAAAGTATAATTTAGCGAGATAAATTTAGAAGGAGAAAGATAGAGATCATGAGGAATCCAGAAGGATGGAAATTAAAGGGAACACGAAGAGTGGATGCACTTGCGCCATTGCAAACGATTCTGAGCCATGTCGTTCAAGGTCTCTAACCATCAATTACTGTTGTTTCGCACACTACATCCAGGTAGCCTACACCTACCACCATGACTCATTCCACTTTTCTGTGACTTCATGGATTTCTGCCATGTTTTGGTTTGGCCGCCCCTAACTTTCTTCCAACCTACTACTACACCACAAAACATAGCTCGACGAGGGAGTCGGTGGTTGTGCATTCATAACACATGTCCAAACCACCTCAATCGATGAATTTTCACTACTTCATCTACTGATTTGCTCCCCGTACGTAGAACTCGTTTCCTTACAACTTCGAGTGGCTAGATCCTCATACATTGGACACTTCCAAACACCTGAAACTGTACTGAAGGAACAAGAATCGAATGAGAAGTCAGTTGGTCTATACTTGATCCTGTTAAGGATTTGGGATGTTCTATATATTAGATATGAAACATGCAATGTGATTAAGAAACTCCAAGTGACTAGAATTAGTGCTGTTGAATGACTAAGTATCACATATTGGACATAATCAAATACATGGAATCGCAATGAAAGTGCACGAAGCTTGTTAAAGGAAATCTATAGTTGTACGCTTGCATTTGTCAAAGATACTGGATATTTGAATAATTTGTTTCACCAGGCGATATCAGCATACATTTTAGCAGCGCGATTATTTGAAGCTTTAACAACTGTTAGACTATAATTTTCCCTTGACTACGTATACTGACTTCGTGTTGAATTCCATTATAATTGGTCTCGGTACCAAATTTAAAGTTACGACTGTTTTAAAATCCAAATTCCTACAGGATAATAGGGTGAATACATATTATTACTTTCATTGAACCAACTAACAACGATGTGGGATGACGTCAGCTACTTCGGACAGTGAATTAGTTTCACCAGGAACCGTAATTAGAGATAAATGGTGTATCATCAGAAAGATTGGAGGTGGCGGTTTCGGAGAGATATACGAAGCTCAAGAGGTCAGCTCACAAGAGAAAGTAGCTCTGAAACTAGAATCATCAGATCAACCCAAGCAAGTTCTCAAAATGGAAGTCGCAGTCTTACGAAAGCTACAAGGCAAAGATCATATATGTAAATTTCTTGGCTGTGGAAGAAATGATCGTTACAGTTATGTGGTTATGTCACTACAAGTAAGTTTCTTCCTAACATTTTTTCCTTAAGATTTTATGCTATTGGCTCAACTTGATTGAATAACAGTGTGCCTTGTTTGTAACTAAACTCATCAGTCAGTGCTTTTTTTTAACTTGGTGCTGTTTATTAGAATGATATTGCTTTGTTTAAACTCATAAGAGGCCTTAAAAATCATCATATTTTATTATCATATGCTAGTAGATATATTCATCTAGAGCCAACCAAGTGTGCTTCTCAAAGTGCTTAAAGACGATATTTGTTAAGTGTTTTTAAATGCTGCTCCTCAGAAGGAAGGTCTCATTTCACTGAAATTTTGATTGGCAGTCTTAGAACCTTTTATTTATTTATTTTGTTGCTGTTGTCAGTGAACATACAGTTTTAGGGTCATTCATTATTTGCTTCTCGATTTAGTGTTGCCGTTTGCGTTTAAAACGTACTTTTCTACGTCTTTGTAAGTTCATTTCCATCCTATTAGTTATTTGAGGCTGCAATGTGAACTGTTATATATATGTGAAGCTTCTGATTGATGTAAAGGCTCTCACCAAAGGGAAAAATTGCCTATATCAATCAGGCTCCTTTTGTTTTTGCCAGTGTTATGTGTTGACAAAGATTTTTAGTACCTGTCTTTACGGTAATCTTGGTATTTGAGTCAACTGTAGTATCTTACTTATCTCGCAAACTTGTTTGAAACTGTTCATGAAGAAGCTTGGTATGTGGTAGTAATCTTACAAGTTAGTAGAACGAAATTTCCATTTCACCCAAACAAGTTGCTCGAATTCTATCCAATCTTCATTCACGACTCCATTGGGCACTATGAAATATTAACAAACATAGAGATTATTTACTCATGTTTTACATTCTGAAGTTGCCGGTGTTTGTACACGGAAAATATTCTACTGAAGTAAAATATAACTATTTTCATGGACATCGAATTATTATTGAGAGGTAGATGTCTGTTGTTATTACAACTTCATTTGGCAAATATAGGTTTTTGCACTTATCCATGAGCCAACTTGTGTAATAACTATTGAGACTATTAATTCGTTGCCCTGAAGTACGTAAAAAAGACTAATTCCGTACCCATTAACTCATAAATGTTACCATAGATTTATTCACTGATATTTTTAACTCGTCTGAGTCCTATTTATTGGGCTCTAGACTTTAGGCACTTTTGTACAGTGTTGTAAAGTGACTGGTTCATTTTGTAGGTGCATACATTATCGATCTTAAATCAAACTCAACAAAATTTTTTTGGAATATCTGTTTCACTGTTGGATTCATTAAACTACTTAGTTTCACATCTTAGTACCACATTCTAAATCAAGAATGAGAGCTTTTTTCGCCCCAGATTCAAATTAAAACAAATGATATACTGTACTACACCTCACCGAAGCAAATTGTAGAAAAATGAACTCGTGTGCTCAGGAATTAATTCTTGTTCTTCTGTAGATCTCGATAGTACTAATTATGCTCATGCATTTACTACTATAGTAGGCGTAATAGTAGAATTGAGCCTTCTAAACAAATATCGTCTATCATAGTTACCACTTCACCTAGTTATTGTTCCCATACCATTTTCTGTGATCTGGACTCTGTTACGTGATATCTTCAAACAGTTTTCATTATTAGGTAAGATAATTCAACATAATGAAGTTTGTTTGTGATTCACAACAGTGAGGTTAGTGTAGACGTACAGATATTGTGGTAACTATTTATATTGAGCTTTTAGGAGGCGATTAAAATGTTGACTTGTTTATCGATCAAACATTTACAGGGAAGATTTTTATCTTTGTACCAAAAAGAAAACTTACCGCTTATGTAGTGTATAGTGATGATTTGATTTTTCAAATAATAAAGACAATTTCACCATGTATTTCACATTCTGATTATCATGGTGGCTATTAACAGTTTAGTTGCGATTGGGAGTACTTTTACCCAGTAATTGTTGCGGAAATTAGGGTTAACTGTCTCTGAAGACAAATCCAATGATTTTATCGAACATTTTGTATATGAAACAAACTGTCATACCAGTTCCGTAAATAAATACTATAATTTGCTCACATGAGTGTGTTATTATAACAAATATCACGTACTTTATTGTCACTGGAATTCTTTTTGTACTCTGTTTGAATAAATTACTTCTACGATGTGTCCTAATATTTAAATCGCTACTAGTTCGTTTAATAACAGTGTAATATAGACTGTCATTAGGGGGATCACATATGAAAATCATCATATGTAGGCCATCGATTTCAAGGTATGTAATTGCCTATGTTTGGAGTTCGTTTAATAAGTATCGACACTTTTCCTGTTTCAGTCAGTCACACTCAGTCAGCTATAACGTAGAACTTCGTATGTACCTACATGATTGTTCAAGTTGCCATACCACATAAGCACAGAGATAGATGGAGTTGTCAATTTAAATCCAATAGTAGTAGAGGTAGTAAAAGTATTAGTGGTAATGGAGAAGATTAGGGATCGAAGATATTATTCAGGAGGTATAATACAGTGGAATAAATTTAAAAAGAGATAGGTTGAGGCGATGAGGAATTCAGAAGATTAAAATTTAAGAGAAGACAAGGAATAGATGCACCTGCGGCATCTCAAACAATTTTGACCTATGTCATTCATGGTCTCTAATAATCAGTTACTGACATCTCGCGGAACCAAACCAGGTATTCTATACCTACCAACATGACTCAGTCCAATAGTTAGTGACTTGATGGATTCGTGCTATGTCTTGTTATGGCCACCCCTGGCTTTCTCCCAACCTACTCCCACACTACAAAACATAGCTCGTCGAAGTACTCAGTGGTTAGGCATACGTAACACCTGTCCCAATCACCTCAACTGATGAGGTTTCAATACTTCATCTATTGATTTGCCATCTCTACCTAGTACTTGTTTCGTAACACCGGCATTGCTCTCTCAGTGGTCCCAAATTATTTTAGTAATGCTTCTAAGACGTCCACAATCGAATACTAGTAACCTACAACTATCGTCGCTTTTTAGTGGCTATGTTTCACGCTTGTGTAATAAGATGAAGCGAACTACTGTACAGTAAACGCGTCCTTTGATTAGTAAATGGATATTTCTCTTACACCTTAAGTGACGCTAGGTAGCAAAAGCCAGTCGACCCTTCTTTATCCTGAAATTATTTTTAGTAGTAGTACGATTCATTCACAGTGGAATATTCCTCTGAATTTGCTTACTTCTATTGTACTTGATATCAAGCTAAATATGCTGCTTTTTACAGTTCTGTTCAAAAAACGCTTCATGGAATCCCATTTGTTGGTCTTAGAATTCTGAGTTCTGTTTTTCTACAATTTGTTCATCTTTCACTTATCTCGAGAGCCTCGTCAGCTCTGATGACCTGGCGACTGACGAAATCTCAACACGGATGCAGAAGTTTCGATTGGCTTTTGCCAACCAGCATCACTTATAGCGTTGGCCAGGTATCATCCGTTCTATGAATTATACTTGTTTACTAATTTCTTCGGACTGTAATCTTCTCATTTACTGCTAATGCTTCTACTGTCTCAACCATTATGGGATTTTAACTGACAATTACGTCTCTGTGCTAATGTGATATGGCAACCTGAACTTATGTACGTACGTACGATGTTCTATGTTGTAACTGACTGACTAACCTGGATTCCACTGCTAGCCATTATTCATCTCTGCTGATAGTATTTATATGAAGTTTTCTGTCTACAGAAAAGACTGATAAAAGACTTGAAAATCAATCTCGGCAAATATTCTCCAATTTCTCTGTTCATCACTTTCGTGCCGTTATTTTTTTTGTTTTAAAACCTAACTAAGATTTAATATAGATGTTACTTTTTACAGCAGATGTGCTTTAATTAAGATTTCATGTTAACTAATTTACACATCATCTGCTCCTGTTGTGATAAATTGGAAATTATTCATTCTATTTCTTCGAACCCAGGAATGTTGATTGTCTCTTAAATTATGTAGAATTGAAATGATGTATTTTCATGTTTCGTATTAGTTCTAATTAAAATGAACATCAAGTGGATATTTTTTTAAAAAAAAGTCTTTCATTCTTACCCGTTGTTGCTTAAATTATTGTTTAAGATACTTCACTCCTCTCCATCTATCCACTAGCACACTAATTGACTGATTAACTCGGTCTGGATTTGAATTGACCATTACGTCTTTGTGCTAATGTGGTATGGCAACTTGAACTGATGAACTGATGAACGTACGTACGTGCGCTAGGGGCGGCCAGACCAAAACATGGTAGAAATCCATGAAGTCACTGAAAAAGTGGACTGAGTCATGTCGGTAGATGTAGACTTACCTGGTTGGGGTCCGCGAGACGAAAATCGCCGATGGTTAGAGACCTGGAATGACATGGCTCAAAATCGTTTGCAATGTCGCAAGTGCATCCATTCGTTGTGCTCTCTCAAATCCTAATCTTCTGGATTCGTGAGCACCTCTACCTTTTGTCTTTCTAACCTTATCTCACTGAATTATACTTCTTAAATAATATCTTCAAACCCTAGTCTTCTTCATTACCATTAATACTTCTACTATCTTTATCACTATGGGATTTGATTTGACATTTGCGTCTCTGTGCTAATGTGTTGGTATGGCGACATGAACTTATGTACTCACGTACGAAGTTTACGTTGCAACTGACTGACTGACGTACGTGTGTACAAAGTTCTACATTGTAACTGACTGATTGACTGACTAGTTGACTGAGAACAAAACAACCAGGTCAATCAACATATTCTATCTAATATTTTTAAAATTCTGTATCAAAACATATTATATAATTTAATCAGTGCTCTCTCTGCCAAACAATTTTTTTTTCTCCTAATGTATAGATTGAGATTAATGTTTTCATTAAAAAATAACTGAATTCACACTTAGTGTAAGTGTTACTCTATTTCCGTATCATATCTAACAATATATCATAGTGCTATCTATGCTAAACTATCTCGTATTTTATTTATATTTAATTCGTTGT